TGCTCAACTCTCTTCGGCAGCAACACGTTACAATGACTAATTTTTTGACTGAGCAACAAGTTGAAAAACTTTATTAATATGAGAGAGATGTCGCGACTGTAATTGTGAATTTAATCGTCGATTGCACTAGCAATAGAAAACCCAGAAAAAAAAATTCCCCAAAAATGTACGCGATAAGTTAGAAAAAATTAAAATTGATAGCAAAGGTCAACAAAAAAAAAAAAGATGAAACAACATCTGTTTAAAAGAACTTTAATCTTGGAAAAAAATCCTATTACGCAGCAATGACTAACGGTACACTAAAGCTATTCTTTGAAACGAAATAAATAAGTTTCAAATTAAAGAAAATACGGGGCAAAAAAAAAAAAACCGCTATTTCAATAAAAATTTTTCAAAACAATGAATGTTAAGTGACGAAAACCGTCCTGATAATAAATGAATGAGAATTGCAAAACAAATTATAACAGTTATAATAATACTAAATTCCAAATAAAAACCTAAAAAAGAAAGGAAAAAAATATATACACATATAATTATTTATTTATTTGTTTACTTATTTATACCAAAAAAGAAACAACTGGATATTTATTGGTTGTACCGTCTCTGATATTCCACAACCGAAACACACTAAATTGGCAACAGCGCTTTGGTTTTATTTTTTGTTTATTGCTCAAATTTATTGTTTCACTTAGCTTAACCACAGCCAAAAAAAAAAAAAACGTGGACAATACAACTGGCGTGTACAAAAGCGAACTCCTTTTACTGCATTCCTAACCAGACAAACAACAGAAACCAGAAGAAATTTTCTGTGAAAATGAATACGATAAAAGAAGAAAACGAGAAGTAATAAACATCGACGGAGCACCGAAGAACGGAGAAAAACAAAAGGGCAAAAGTGGAAAATTGAATAATGACAAATATATTCGCGCCTTTTCACTTTTTGGTACTTCTCCAGATTACGGCCTTTACACGCATCGCACAGTACAGCGATGTCACTCATTGGTTGTTCCGTTGTTGGTGGGTGCTCAAGCCTATTTTGAGTGATAAGATTTTATGCGAGCTCAAGTCTCCAAGTAGCCAAATTTGGCGCAGGCGACATAAAACTTCAGTATTTTAGAAAAAGTCGAAGACGGAGTGAGTAACGTTCCAACTTTAAAAAAAAAATGAGTGAAAAGAGAAGGGGGTCAAACAGAGGTAACTGATTCTAGAAAGCTGAACGTCTAGACCAAAATTATGCAAGAAATAATGATTCGTTCGGATTTCTATATCTGACTGCTCCTCGCACGTAGAAGCAGTTACTCGAACTTGCGGTAGCAACTTTTTGTTTTGCATCCGCTGGTGGGTGGGACCCAGGCACCGCCCACCAGTGAACGCGTTGCGTATGGAGCCCATATGATGAAGCGATAGCTTTAAAAATGATATTTCCGCAGT